TAGCAGGTGATGTCAACATGTTCAGTTTTGAGCATCTATTTTGCTTGGTTGGGTGATGTTGTGTACAGTAGAGCTGAATGTTGTGATCTGACTATTGTGTTCTCCATGGTGGCAGGTCCCCTTCTGAAGTACCTCGCCTTGTTCTGCCTGATAAATTATTTGTCAATATTGCCATCTCGATTGGTCATGAAATTAATCGAGCCTTGGAATTTATTCAAGATGTTGCACTTGGAGGAAATTTGAAGCAATTTCTTATGGTATGTTTGGATGATTATATTCTTTTCATACATATGATTGTATATATCATATACGAAGGTGATCTGATTAAGATCCATGTTGAGGAACTGGAAGACTTGTGCGTCGGCTGTTAGATTAGATATGAATGACCGGAATACAACTAATCCACCCTCACTCACTATGCATCTCAACCATCTAAATTTTACCTAAACACTGATATGCAAGTCCTCAATTTAATTTCTAGAACATCACCATATCTATGTTATGAAAAGCACTTTCTTGGCTTGGCTTTCACTGGTTTCTTGATATTAGCAGTAAATGCATTTTAGGCCTCAAAACCCCATGCTATCATGCTTTTACTTAACGTCTTTGACGATTGTAATAAACTGTTGAGATATTATCTCAGGTTGTAGCAAGCTTGTGGGTTGCTGCAGTGATAGGAAGCTGGTGTAATTTTCTGACCGTTTTGTACATTGGTGAGAGATCCAACCACTAATAATATCGAGTCTCGTATAAACTTATGATCTGATGACCATGTGTTCTGTTGATGGTATGGTTAAAGTTTGGGATAACCATGAAGATTATTGGAGAGAATTTGATTGTTGTCAGAAGTTTGAATATTGTTACTTTAGCATTTGCATAATAAAATATGAGTTGTCTTTCAGTATTTTGCACTTGATGCATCACTTGCTCTACATGGAATTGAAACATAAGTTACTGTTAGTAGTAAGTTAGTGGTGGAAAATTAAGCTCTCTCTCTCTGTCTCTCTCTCTGTCTCTCATGTGATGTGGCTTCTGAGGTAAACTCATGCTTCTAGTCTCATTTGAGTTTAAAGATGATATTTGATGAAGTATGTAATTCCTTCCTTTTGGATTTTATCACTGGAATTTGTTTATTACTAGTGAAGTGTATGCATATACTGTAATATTCATGAATGCTGTATCTCAAAAAAGAAAAGAAAAAGAAAATATGATTACCTTGTTGAATTTGGAAGCGGTTTAGAACTGCCATCAACTTAGGATCATGGTGCCTTTCTTGCTGAGGGTAACTATAGAGTTCTTTTATTATTCATGATTTATCTATCTGATTGAGCTAGACATGCTTATAAGAGTTATCTGAAGCTTACTGATAATCTGTCTTTGATTTTATGGTACATAATATGGTTTTTATTAATAATATTGTTATCCTGGTATATATGGAAGAGAATTGATATAGGTCGTTGTTTATTAGGTTTTGTTGCTGCTCACACATTGCCAGTTCTGTACGAGAGATACGAAGATCAGGTTGACAACTTTGCATACCAGGTCCTCGGGCAGCTTCAACATAATTATCGGAAGCTTGATACCAGTGTCCTCAGCAGGATCCCAAAAGGAAAGGTCAATTGGAAGAAGCATGATTAGATTCGTTTAGCAACATAAATAATGTTTAGCCATCTCTGCAGTTGATTGGAAAATAGCATGTTCCAGCAGAGGGAAAACAAGGGGTGAAAAAACAATTAAGTATTACTGTTTATAGGGTCAGAAACTGGACAGTTGTGATTATTCCATGTTAGTAAAACCGTTCTGTTATTGTGAAGGTTCAAATTCATCTTCCATTTGATCAATTCTCGTTTTGAGAAGTAACCATTGCCGAAATAGCATTAGCTTAAACCAAAACCAAGGGGTTAAAACCACATGCAAGGATCAGTTGGGTTGAAACCATATCAACTGGTTTCAACTTTCATTTTTCATGGAAAGTATTTTACCCTTACCCTGATGAGGAAATCTTGGGTAGTTTTTGTAAGTGAGTCGCATAATACATCACGGCTGACAGTCACCTACGCATGTTGGAATATTTCTGTCTTTCCCTGGAAACATCATAACATCCATTACTCTAGTACTAGTGCAGTCTGAGTGACGCCTACCACAGGCACAGGCACTTTTAATCCTTCACCCCTATTGTTACTTTTGTTTTGCCAACGTCTAACAGTTGTGTAAAAACAGGGTTTAAGTTAGAATTTTGAGATTTCAATTACTTGTGGCTAGTAATATGTAGCTATGAGTAAAGTTGAAAATTTAAAGAACAAAAGATGAAACAACTTGACAATTTGTTGGTTGTGGACCTATTGGTACAGTGAAAGAAAACAAGAAAAAGCTAGCTAGACGGCCTGTAGAGAGGTATAGCTCTAAGGAGTAAAGCTGTAAAGATATCATTAAGGTCCGGAAAATTATGGGAGAATTTTCCACGTTGTATGGCCTACCTTCAGATCAGTAAGAGATCTCAGACATGCTCATATGGCTAATAATGTTTTTGTTCATAATATTCTGCCGGAATTTTTTATAGTACAAAACGATTAAGGGGAAATGAATTTACACAAATATTCATTGGATGCACGTGAATTTCGAACATTTGTTCATATGAGTGGGGATGAAAGAGCTCAACCAACTAAGCTATAATCCACGGACAATTTTGCTAGATATTTAAATATGTGAGATTTGAGAACCTTAGGTGAGCAATTTAAAGAATATTTGTGGGGTGACCATGTGGTCAACTGGTCATCACTTTTTTGTTTCTTTCTCGAGTCAATCGAATATTTGAGCAATTTAAAGAACATTTCTGAGGTAACCACGTGGTCAACTGGTCATCACTTTTTTGTTTCTTTCTCTGACATGTGCGATTTGGTCAAGATATGTTAGATGGCAAACACAAACCAGATCTTATAATTTTGTATTGGAACATCGACAAAATAATTAACAAGCTACAGCCTAAAGCAGACTATATATCATGTGGGATTCTCAGTAAGGCTCGGATCCAAATCTAACACAGTACTTTCACATGATGTTCATGTACATACTGTTTGCTGCTGCTGATTAAATAGTTGAGTTGAAGTCGGCAATTAGCAAGTGGTATTGTGTATTTCTCTAATCATTAATCTATAGACCAAGATGTGAAAAAACAACTATACTGTATTTTTAAACTCTTTGTATTAATTATAACTGGGGCGAATCTATATCGACATCAATATCGAACTATCAATAACATTATAAATAATCGATATAGCGTGTCGATTTCAATCCCACCTCAGCTAAATCATGAGTGCAGAACATATGCATTTATAATTAGTTAGAGCTAGACTTTTTAAATCATACATGAACATGTTTAATTAACAGTGATTGGCCTGCAGGTTTCACAAAACATCTGTGGCTATAGAATGAAGTATGTGCATTTCCAAGGCGATATCGATTGCATGGATGGTTGTGAATAAAGGAGGACCAAAAAATATCAAGATATACATGCACCTGCATATATATAGAAATGTGTATATATAATATATAGAGCCACCTGTGTGTGTGGAGGAGTGGACATGAGGAGAGAGCTCGAGAGAGTGTGCATGGACTGCTGATTCCATGCTTGGAATGTGCAATGCAGCAACTTTCCATGAGTTTAGCTCACGTCGTGGACCCTCATCTGCCTTTTAGGAAAAATGTGTGGAGTTAGCTTATTATATATACCACTTCCCTTTCTCTCCTTTTCACTCATTATACATACAAGATTCTCTCTGAATAATCTCTGCCTTCTCATAATTCTCAAGAGGCATGCAATGTGTATATAATACACACACATATCTTCTTTGAATGTTTATTTTCCAAAAGGAAAAGAACAAGTTTTGGAATTACAAGTTCAGAACTGTCATTGGATGATATGTATCTTAATTACTCAGAGGTTAATTAGAAGTTTAGAACCTACCTATAGAGGGCAGGGAAACGTTTGAAAGATTGATGTATATACGGCTGTATACTCGCGTCTGCAAACTCATGTATGTCTGAAAGACGTATATTCGTGTCTGCAGACGCATGTATATATACCTACATATCAGCTACTACCTCTCCTGTGCATGTACAGCACCACAGACATGTATTGGACATCAATTAAAAGCTAATCTCTTTTAGAATCGAACATGGCTTGGACACACACCTTCACATATATATACATCTGTTTCTGTTTATTTTTCCATACATAGGAATTATGATTCAAAACACACAAAATATTATGTTGTGAAATATTGAAATCCACATTTTTAAAGGGTTCCAAACTAGAAGAAAACTTAGCAATTGCATTTTTCTTTCTGATGCATGTATATATGTATATTATTGGTATTAACCCTTAAAACTAGAGATTGTTCGGTTCACATCTTTTATGCGATGATGATACCAAAACTTGGATTTGGTGTATTATAAAGTAGTGATTTTTAACAAATACATTAAACTTATGCATATATACACACACATATATGTATATATATATATATACGTACACAGATGCATATATGTAGTAGTCGATACAATTTCGTAGATATCTACAATATCAATCCGCATATCCACAATCCTATTTTTAGTTAAAGACATGATATCTTATGTATGTGAAACTAAGAATCTCTCCTGCGCAGGAGTGGAGCTAGAATTGAAAGATTGGGCCGAGATAGAAAACACAAGTATATCAAATACATATAAGTATTCAAAACACATGTTAGAACTGAATTTTTCAAAATTAGTCATGTCTAATTATTTTTAAAGGGGCCATTAATTAAAATTACAAGTTGTCTATTAGTAAGTTGTAAGAGATCAAAAAAATGGGGGACTCGGGGCCACTCCTGGCCTAGGAGTGGCTCCGCCACTGCTCCTGCGTCTTATCTTTATGAGTCTATAAATAGGGGAAGGACTTGAGTTTCATGAATTAAAAACCACTAGTTGATTTCTCAAATATACAGGTATATCGATCTCTCCCGTTATACAGAAAATGATGGGGACGATGATGATGACGACGATGATGGAGGAGATGTGGCGCCAGCAGCATAGTTATCATAGATTCATAGTGTTTATGAATAAGAGTGGCTTAAGCTTTGATACTTTCATCAACTTGAGCTGAACGAACATTTGGTAATATATATATATATATATATATATAGTAAAGAATCAGCTGCATATTATGAATTTATATTCATAGGGCAACTATTTTGTAGCATATACAATAATATTAGAAGGTGTATGCATGTAATTTAAATAAGCAAAAGATACCTCCGGTGTGCTTATATATAGTCATACGCACCAGAGGCATCTGAGAAAAAAGAAGCAGAAGAAGAAGAAGAAGAATTCAGGTGTCTATGTTTTACAGCTTCTTTTTATTTTGCAAAGGGCCGGAAAGAGAAAAATATTACTTGTATATGATTACTGAGATCATGTGTATGGCAGCTGCTACAATATTAAACTTTAATAATAATTAGTGATATATTCGGATTACGTAATATCAATCTCTCTCTCCCTCTCTCCCTCTCTCCCTCTCTCCCTGTCTATTAATTATGTCTATCTCCCTGTAAGTCCATCCATTAATATATCATGGCAATTGAAGAACATGGAAACATATCTTTTAAAGGATTTCTTTATAGAGTTAATTATCTTCTTGATCATTTCAATTTCCCCCTTTCTGTTTTGTATTATGCTCAAGCATGGCTTTATGTTAATTCATATTCCATTACTATAGCTGAGCATAAAATCCGTGAACTGAGTTTAGAAAATGTAAGTACTGTGTTTTTTCCTTCTTAATTATATTTGGTTGTCTTGACTGCTAGGGTTTTTCTGATTTCTTGGGTTTATTTTTCTTGAAATAGTTTGAAATATGTGAGGTTTGGTGCTTGATAGACTCAGGTTCACTTGTTTTGCAGCCAACATTATTCGCTACCTTTTGTTACATTAAGTTCATTTTGAAACTTGAGATAAATAAGGTATCGATTTTTTTTTGGTGGAGAATTGCTGAAATTTTAATTAGAGGGTTGTGAATCTGTGATCATAACTTTAGCTTCGAGAACAATGGCTAGATGAGCTTGAGTACGTTTATTTCTTTATACAAAGTGTTTCTCTACACTTTGCCATATAGGCTAGCTGGGAATATTGAAAACAATTGTGGAAGAAAGTGCTTGCCTTGCTTTGCTTTTGTCTGCACCAAAAGGGTAATGAAATTTTCTTCCTTTTATGACTGCATAGCTGCATATAGTTGCATAGCCTGGTCCTTTTTTATTTATTCTGAAATTCGTTGAATGTATGCATATTTTGTGTTTGGTCGCACACTTGTACTAATAATATGCTAAGGTGCAGCTTGTTATGCTCGTTCTTTTCAACTATTCTGTGAGCCCGATAAATAATAGTTCATTATTTGTTGCTTCACTATGCCAATATTGCTTGAGGTGAGTTACCTCAAGCAAGAGCATGATCTTGGACTGCAAATTTTCGTGGTTATTGAAAATGGATTTTAATTATGGCAAATTTTTAAGTAACCTTCGTTTTGGAAAAGTTTTGTGCTGACAGGTTTTATAAAGTTAAGTTTGTAGGTCATTTTAGACCATTAAATAGACATAACAAGATCTAAATTGCTGTTATGTGTGAAGATTTATGTCTCCAAATTTCTGTTATGTGAAGATTCATGCGATAGGATTAGTGAGCTGCCAAGAAATACCATTGTCATTCAGGTATTTGGGTTGGATTGCTCCTTGTTTTTGTTGTCTTTTGCAGTTTACAGTAATCTGAGTACATTTTTATCTTCTATCCAGGCTCAGAAAGCAGAGAGGGATGCTACAGATTTATAAACTTAGAGTTTGGTAAAAAGGTATAACATGAATGGAAGTTTTAATTGTAGTTTATGTGAGTTCAAAGTTGATGAAATAAAATAATATATTGGTCTATTATCTCTCGTCTTTTGCAGTGGGAGAAGGGAAATAGCACATACACCCAACAACAACTTGATGAACTGAGAAATGAATGGGTAGAATTTGCGAGTCATCGCATATGTATTAGCTATGTAGTTACCTAGTCAATATTTTGTGAATTTTGGCTATGAATAGTTAGCCCTAGTCACTATTTTGTGAATTTTGGCTATGGATATTAGCCTACCTATATGTAGTCATCAGGAGTAACGGTATATGTTGTACAAATGTGGTAGGGTTTTGAACTATGACAGAATTGTTAAAGTAAGATGTATCTTAAGCTTTTATGAAAAATGCAGGTTTTTGAGTATGAATAGTCCAGTTGGACCTCAATATCCAGGTTGTCTGTAAACATGGGAGTGGGTTTCTTGTTCCACAGAGGTATAAATCATCTTCCTAATATGCAAATCCAAAATAAAACCGCGATTTACCTTAAAACAGAGACATAGAAATAAGGATGACACGTCAAATTTATTTTAAACATATAGACGTAGTGCCCGTTTGGCATTGCTTATTTGGGGTAATAAGTGAATTTTTAAAAAATTTGGGAAGCCTAGCATGTTTGGTAAACTGTGAGAAAATCACTTATTGTTAAAAATTGTTGTGAGTGAAAGCTATAAGGGAAAGCAGCTAATGAGGTGCTTTCATTTTCTGATTATGCAAGAATTAGTTTCGAGGAGGCGCTGGGTTTTAATGATTATGCGGCAATTATTTTTTGATTATGCAGAAATAATACCAACAACACTTTAACAACCAAACGCCAAACTGCTTTCTCTCACAGCTGATTTCTCCACAGCAAATCTGACAGCGATTATTTTCACAGCACAGCAATGCCAAACTGGCCCGTAGTAAGTCTAGAACTACGTCCATTTTTATTATCAAATTGATGTTGTAAGATTCATATTACATCTATTGTTTCAAAGAAATCGAAATCGTAAGACACATACCACGTCCAATTTCTTAAAGCCATAGACATGGTACAACACATACCATGTCGCTTCTCAAGTAATACTCGACATAGCTGTTATTCAAAAACGTCTTTTTTTTTTTTTTAAACGACGTGGGATAATACTTCCTACGACGCTTTTTAAGATATAGGGACATAGAATGTTGTTTCAAACATCGATTTTTCTTCCAATGGAACTCGAACGACGTTGCTTTTGGACAAAAAGCGACGTGGATTAATATATTCCACGGCGGTGAATCACCGTCGTGATTAAGGTTTTTAAAGCATGTCGGTAGAGTAGATGCTTTTTCACCTTAAACCACGACGGTTTTTCACCGTTGTTGTTTTCAATTTTTGGAAAAGTGTATATTGCCTCGATCGTCATCGTATGGATTAGTAACACCAAAAATACATCAAGAACTTGTAGGAGAATATTAACCTAGCTATATTTCAGAGTCAGAAGATAATCTAATCTTAATACAGTATATCGCTTTTGTTATTATATGCCTTTTCTTTTACATATAACAACTAGCTAAGGCAATATCTAATATTTATGACACTTGCTATCATCCTATCATCCTATCATCCTATCATCCTATCATCATGCTCTAACAGAATCTAAGTTTTTCACATGAAACTTACAATAGCTTGAGATCTCTAAACACACCATTCCACCTCATCCATCTCATACAATTTGAACAAAAGTATTTGTGGGTTGATTAACCATATAGTGTCATAATAAGAATATATGTATGCATAAAAAAGAAGTGTCAATAAGAATGTCAAATTTTTCTTTTTATGATAAGCTAGGATTGTATTGGATTGAATAAGTCATAAATCTAAGATATGTTGTTAAAGGAGGAAATGAAGGTCGGTGAATGATTTTCCATTTTGGGGGCGATTAGGAGGGATAATTTCCTTTATAAAATGTTGTTATCCTACCATTTTGTGGGGATTATGAAATAAGTTTTCTTCATTTTTTTAAATTTTTTTTGAGAGCCTTTCCTATTGAGAGGGGAGATAATTAACATACTAAACTCACACACACTACATGGATGTTAAGGCTCGAACCCAAGACCTTTTCTGTGGGGAGCATTTGCCCCAAACCACTACTAGTGGGTCCTTTGGAGATAAGTTTTCTTCATGAGTAATCTATTTTTTACCTTTAACATGATCATGTGTTTTTCATGTCTTCCTTTAAGAACATCCACAATGGTAAGGTGTATATGGAGGTGTATGTCAAATATACACATTTGGTTGCCAGAATGTCCTGCAATGGGGAGGTATATACGGCCGTAAATGTACATCACAACCGTGCAATGGGGAAAAAAGATGCAAATGTACATCTAATTTTACACCCAGCCAAGTGGGTCCCATAATGGAAAAGCCAAGAGAGAGGAGAGAGGAAAGCTACCTAAAAGATGGGGAAGTTATTAAAATGGTAGACCCAGGGTGTGGCTAAGATTTATTAAAATGGGAAGTTATTAAAATGATGCAAATGTACAAAGTTATTCTCCAACAACTCTCTAATGTATGGCCATATTTCATTCAAATTGAAATATGAAACTAATAATTACATTGATCAATGGTGAAGAATAAATTCATATCAAAGCCGACGGTTCAGATTAATTTTATTTACATCATATTGAATGAAATTATATCTTATCGGAATTTTAAAATTTTTACGTCGATTTATTTAGAAAAAATAATTAAACCTAACACAAAAAAATTAACATAAAAAAAAAATATAACACAAAAAATGAATTAATTCAAGAAAATCGAATTTACATCTTTGAATTTTGCATCCAACTCAATGGAGCAAAAATGATATTTGCATCTCTTGGAGGTGTAAAGGTGATGTAAAAGTGGCTTTACACCTCCGAATTTACACCTCCCACTGTAAATGCTCTAACATGCTTGAAATATAGGGAGTTATCATATCCAACCCATACTAGACATCAAACGAGCCCAAAATTTCACCCAAAAAGAAATTGGTATACATATATATAGTGATTTCCAAAGAAAACTTTGAATAAGTTGGGTTCAATCTCCAAAATACAAACCACAATGAATATTTTAGAAAAAGGGATACGTTATATCCAGCGTGGCAGACGAGCTGGAGGTGACAGTGGAGCCTGAGAGCGTGCATGGACTGTTGATCCCACATACCGAATGTGCAGCGCAGACACTTGCCATGAGCTTAGCATACGTAGACAGACCTACATCCCACTAGGAAAAAGGTATGGAGGACAGCCCTGCCATGTCATCGCTCCCTTCTGTTCGCGCCAAATTTCGTTGCCTTTTTCATGTCAACGTGTCCAATATCAAGATCTCAAACAAATTACAGAGATCGCAGAAGAAAGCAACATGTCTGTTGGGAAGGATATGCAATAACAATTTGCATATGCCAATATGATGATGTTATTCCTTTCCTTGTTATAAATATGCAGACATGTACTGGTGCAGTCTGCAACTAGCTTCCGCATACACTGCATGCTTATTTAATTTCTTTGGTCAATTTCTTAGGTAAGCAGGTCCTCTTTTTTTTTTTTCTATCTAAACCCTATTTTATATATGTCAGTTGCAATGGTTAGTGTCAATAGCAAACAGTTACTTGCTGCTTCCAAGTTAGTTTTTAAGGAGGAGGACCTGTCCAAGACACAGTTTCATGTTCACCGGAAGAATGATTGGGATGATGACGATGACGACGACGATGATGCAGGCAGTGTTGCGCCAGCCGCATAGCTATATATATGGTTATTGGCATTGAGCGAATTTGAGGCACTTCCTAGCCTCCTAGGAGTTCATGAACGGGGTTCAACAATGTTGAGCTTTGGCACTGGTTGTCAGTTAAAGATTGTTTTTTGTTTTTAAGGTTTCAAATCGAGTACTATTAGAACAAAAGAGAAAAACAAGTTTCTCGACTCTCTCTGCTTGTCTTGTTTTTAATAGTACGTTGACTGAATGTTAATCTAAGCTTAAGTTCATTACAAAATCCGAAGTTTGTTTTTCAAGTTTCTCGACTCTCTCTGCTTGTCTTGTTTTTTAAGTTTTTAATGTATAGGGCCAACAAAATAATAAGCCACTTCATTTTGAAAGGCCGAATAACCATGCATATTCTCAGTCTGATGAGGCAAGAAAGCTCAGTAAGATTAAGATATTTTATCAAAGAACCTCGGCACAGATACGAGATAGTGATTTGTATAATAATCAATATCAATTAATAAACCTTATCACCTACCAATGTTGTTTCGAAAGATATATGTGTGTGTATGTGTGCGCGAGCCTGCTGTGGTGGGTACACCAGTCCATATTGCAATGAGTTTGTCTTTCAAATGGTCAATTCAGACATAAAGCATAAAAGATCATTCATTAAAAGGTCTTTTTAAATACCAAGCTTTGGGCACAATTATATTTTTCATGTACTCTCTAACCACAACCTTTATGTCTAATTCCAATATGACCAATTAGATTATCACTGACAGAAACAAAAATGACAATGCCTTGCCTACTCAACTAATTGGGGTCTAAATTTCAGAAAGATTCTTGGGCCGGGTTAGAATTTTCTAATTGTTGAGGCCCAAAAAATCCACAATTGGGCCCGAATAAATTCACTGCCCAGTACAACACCTTATTAAGTAAAAACTCCATACCCAATGTTGAGGCCCAAAAAATCCACAGTTGGGCCCGAATAAATTCCCAGCCCAGTACAACACCTTATTAAGAAAAGACTCGGTTTGGAGCACGCAAGAGTTCGTCATACACGCTCGCACGAGCCACAGTCCACGTGCCATGCCAAATAAATAATCTGTCACGCTAAGAATTGAGATGAGCCTATAAAATGCACTAGCTCTACGAGCCCATGCTAATTATCCTGCCATGTCCCTTTTTAAAGGGGATACAATTCGAGCACTCCAATCGACATGCCATGCCAAGCGGAAGATCATTATTTTACACCTAGCTACGACAAGCTTAAGTGGGCCCAAGCCACGCAAATGCCCTGGGCTTGCTAAGTGGGTTGTAGTATGGATGGTAAAAAGCTTTCATGAGGCCCATTAATGAGCCGAGAAATGGAAGTTTTGGGTTTCTTGGGAGCCCAAAACTCAAACCCATTTCTTGAGCCCAAATATGTGGGTAAACATAAAAGAAAAAGAATGTTAGCCCACTACCTTAGACAAATAGCCCATTACTTTAGGAAGTTGGTCCATCCCCTTAGTAGGCTTAGCTATCACCTTAAGAAAGCTCAAGCAAACCAAGAAAATATCTGCAAGCCTCCAGCACATGGCTGGAGACAAAAACAACGACAAAACCCAAAGATATCCATATGTGTGGGCTGCTGGGA